GTTTGAAACAATAAGGCCTCACTAAGTCTAAAAATTCATTTAAATTATTCATTGTTTGTATTGGTGTTTTCGTTAAATGTATATATTTTGCCGATAACCCCACAACTTTAGGCAAAATATTTAACGTATATTCCAAAAAATATCTGATGAAACTTAAGCAAAATACTGTGTTTTGCATTTGCGTTTGCACTTTACAAAAATATTCTATGAAAAATGAAAAATGATTTCTATTTCAAAATTGTGAAAAAAATGATCTCATATAAACGCAAACGCGCAAATCTTATGATTTAGTTGTGTTTGAAACAGTCGATGTCCTGATTAGGTTTGAGATAGAAATTCATGACATGAATGAATTCTTGATTTGTTTCTATATGGTTAGGGTTGGAGCAATGATAGGATACGTTCTTGTGAACATAGAGTGACAATGGAAGGAGACAAAACGAGGTACACTTTAGGTCTTTTTTCGTTTGTCACGGGCACGGTTTCTGTTCCTGAGGATCTTGTGGACAATGAACATCCTCTTATGTACAAGCCATTTGATAACATCGCTCTCATAAACTTCTATGCAACGAAAGAAGGCCGTGAAGCAAAGTCGAGTCTCAAAGCATATTGTGGTATCTAAAAAAGTATCTATACACAGAAAGATTGGTGATCTTAAGTGATAATGATTTCGAATTTTCAATGCATTTCATTAATCAAAGATTCAAAGTGATAAGGTTTTATAAATCTTGATGCATGTAATCTGATTGGTTCCGTACTTACAAAGTTTCATTTTCAATAAGATAAGATAAAGAGTTTTCAAGTCTTTTTCAACGATTTGTTTTAATCAAACTGTTGTGAAGCTGTGTAGTACACAACAACAAGCGTGAAAATTACAGTTTTTCTATATTACAAATATTAACAAACAAAAAAACAAATGAATGTGATCAGAAACCGTATAGCACTAGAAAATGTTATAAACTACCAATGTGAGACAAATTAACATGTTTTTCATTAATCCAAAAGTTTTAGAGGCTTCACCATAAGCCCAATGGCCCATGTGTCCTAATTCTCAATCAATCTCAATTAATTTTGTTATTATCATAGAGCTTTGGGGGATTCAGATGAGTTTTTGTAACAAATTTGGAAGTTTTGGGGGCGTTTTATGATTTAGGAAAAAAGCTAGGGATGTTTTTGGCTTTTATAATCGTTATTAAATAGAGAACCCAAAAACCCTAGACGTCGTGATAACGAAACGAAGCCACTGATAGTCCCACTCTCTTCTCCACAGTTCCAAGTACGTTTCTTGCATCTTCAAATTCTTATAGATCTTATGTGATTTTATTGAGATATATTCCATACCTATAATAAATTGTATGATTTTCTATTTAGATTAGGACTTCAATTTCCTTATTACATTAGGTATCATAGCCTAAGAAATGTAACCCTAGGGTTTGTGAAATACAAGTTAAAATTCTTTGATTCATTAGAGAAAGAGCGCGAGATAATGTTGGATATCGATCTTTTTCGAACAAATCCGGAGATTATTCGAGAATCTCAGCGCCGGAGATTTGCCAACGTTGAAGTCGTTGATGAGATAATCATTCTCGACAAAGAATGGCGTCAAGGTACGTAGATTACGATCCCTTTGCTTCACATACAAGAAATTGAGCTTAATGCTATCAAATCTCTGTATTTCAGGTAAATATGAATTAAATTGTATCCGCAAAGAGTACACCAATCTGAACAAGGAAGTGGCCGAGCTCAAAAT